TCATGGTACCTTAAATGTCAAACATAATTCTTATTATATACAAGAATTCTTAACAATGACTAATATATCTTGATTTTAATTTACATAATAATATTAGTCGGATTAATTTTTATTTTTGAATTCATTTTTTTTTATTTTATCAATTACCTAACTATTTAGTTAGTAAGATATTCGACTTCTTAGATTACACATCGTATTGAATTTGTTAAATTATATTCCCTATGTTTCATAACAACTGTATATATGCATCTTTAGATTTTTAAAATTGCATTAAATGCATTTTTTTTTCATGTTTTAACCTTATTACGTCATGAATTCTAAGTATTAATTCTCTTTTATCACATCACATCATTAAATTATTAAGGTTATTATAATTTTTTTAATGTGTTTTTTTTCTTTCTAAAACCTAAACACATTTATTTGACATTCTTAATATTTTTGCAAAAGGAAAAACGACAGTTAATTAGAAACGAAGGGAGTATTATTTAATTTCTTCTAGTACGTCATTATTTTTTTCGAGATCTTTGCATCTAGAACTCATCTAGAAGTATCTAGAGTTTATTCTATCTATTTGAAGTAATTTAATTAAATATGAAGATTATACCAATCTTGAAATAAATATTTCCATGCATAATCACTAAAAAATAATTGCGTAATAATCAAATACACGTACTATACATATGAGTTAGAATCTACTTTAATTTTCAACATAAACAACGTATAATAAACTATTAATTTACAAATATACACAGTATACAGTATACACACGTTATGAACTACTACAATAAAACTACACGTAAGTAAAATTAATGTGAGGACACAATTCGTGCCTTGTGGAAATTTAATTTGATTTCCTTACAATGCTAGCTGTAATAAATCTTATTGCAGAAAAAGATTTTGTCTGCAAAAATAATAAAATATCACTTTCAATTATATAGAGGAGGCCACCTGGTTTATGTTGTTACGTGTATCTGGAAAAAAAATCACATCTACAAGTTTACGGAAAAAAGTCGCGAAAAATACTCGAAATACGGTGCGACGAATTTTTTTCTTTTGTCAAATTAGTTATACAATAAATGTGAGATTCAGCTTGGTTTTAGAAATAACTTTGGCTAATTCGATCTATAATTCTCTCGAAATGGATATCCGATTTATTTAATTAACCATTTGATATTGCAAAAAAAAAATAAAATAATAATAATAATAATAATAATAATAAAGAAGAAAATAATTCATTTATGAATTAAGGTTTGCAAATTGCAAGCTAGATATAGTATTGCATGTTTCTTTGATAGTAGCAAATATGTTGTCACTAGTAACAATCAAGCATGCCTGCATGCATGTTGTGTACCAAAATCCCATGTCAAAAGGGTCTTAATTAGTATGGAGAGCTAATTAATATATATTTTTCTGCAATTTAATTAAATTAAATATTTATTTATTTGGTCTACCCATCAATTTCACAATTATATATATAGCCCTAACTAATTATTTATTAATTTCCAGCTGAGATTGACAGTGATACATTTTTGTTTGAACACACTTCAATGCTCCAGACAAATATATTACACTTTCTCTTTCAACAGCATGGAAAATTCCAACATTTCGTTTTCATTACCAAAGAAAAAATAGGTCAACATATATATATATATATATATATATATATATATATATATATATATATATATATGAAAATTTATTTTGTGCTGGTTTTTAAAATTGGATATATTTTCGTGACAAGTCGTTCGTAAAGAATTTCCTCGTTCATCGTTTGTCTCTATATGAAATCGAAGATTTTGTTTTTTCGTTAAAATTCTATAAGATTGGTTCACATTTTTTTTCGTCTGATTGATGGCCACGACTTTGTATACGTTCGAATCTTTACCGAAAAGTCCGCTAGGGATAAGAAATTTTCGAAAAGACAACAAAATCTTTCTTCTGTCCCCTCTAGGATATCGAAAATTAACAAAAAAAAAAAAATGGAAATTAAATTGTGATGTTCTAAAAATAAATTTTCCACAATAGATTTTTTTAGTTTAAAAAAATTTACATTTTTAAAATGTCTTTTGCCAAACATATATATATTTATATATCATAGCCAACTTCCGAAAAATACCACCAAAGATGTTCAAAGTTCATATAGGTTTACACGTCTGATTGTGTGTAAATATATTGCGATATACTGCACCAACGATCGAGACCCTTTTTCGGATTTGATAAAAGAAACCGAATAATTAATAAATGGAAAAATATTGAATAAATTAACCCATGCATAAAATCACAAATTAATTTTCTTTTTTTTAAAAACACATGCAACTTGCATGGAAGCTCCAATTTATATTAAAACACAAGCAAAGTCACTTTCTTTCAGAAATATTTAACTGCAATTGAAAACATATAATATATACTTTTGGTGGACAATATGTTTCAATTGCTAAGGGAAACTATAGAAATAGCACGATTTCTTGTACCGAAGAATTGAAACACTAATTATCTTCCAAATGATTAATTATTGTCCTTTATTTTCTTGTTTATTTTTTTTTATTAATTTATTAATTATTATTTCTGCTTGATTCAACATTTTTGCACCCACATTTCGGCTAACTTTTCGTTGACATGGTACAATAATATTTGCTCCAAAAACTTAAATATATTCAATGAGTATTATTTTTTCGGAAAATGTAAATTGGAGCATATATATATATATATATATATTGAAAATGTATATAATTAGGATTAATTATATAAATTATTCGGACATGGTAATAAACATATGTTTATTTGTGCTGCCATTAAGGAAGCATTGGTGCAGGTTGTGGCATTGATGTTGCCAGCTTGTTAGAAAAATATTGGGTTAGGAATGTAGTAGCTATCCGCCAAAATGCCACCTCAAATTCAATTAATTAATTATGCTTAATTATATTTATAGAGCTCAAAATTAACCTACGTTCATAAACCATCTCCCAAACTTTAATTTGTACTTTAATCACGTATTCTATTTCAACATGCATATATGTTAATATATGTTTAATAAATTTATATATAAGAACTAACAAGTCGTTTTATTTTATATATATACACACACGGGTTTAAATAAAAGATGACAATTTTGTATACAATATATAAGGGCTAATTAATGGTACTTCTCAATTGATACACACAAAAATTTAAGGGTAAATTACTGTTATTCCCCTGAGATAAGGTTAAATTACGAAAAAAAATCCTTATGTTTAGGTAATTACAACCATCCCAAGTATGGATCTTCTCAAACAACCACCCTTATGATGTCAAATTCGACAAAATCTTCTAGATTCTGTGGAATGTTTCTCTAGTTCGTACTCGTTTTGTGCAAAAATGCAATTTCTGATGCACCAAATCTAATATTTAGAACCCAAAAGACACATTTTATGATCATCTTGTTTCAAAAGGTGGAGCTCGAATGTGATAAAACGGGTCAAATTGGTGAAAATTCCACATAATCTAGAAAATTTCACTAAATTTGACACAACTTGGTGAACGTGTAAAAAGATTCATAGTTGAAGGGTGGTTTTAATTACTAAAACATGAAGGATTTGTTTCGTAATTTGAATTTATCTAAGAGGGTAGCCGTAATTTACCCAATTTTAAATAATAAAAATAGAGAAAAGGGATAGTTGGATTGTAACAATGCTGCAACTTAATTGAGGCCCAAAGAATGGTTGCAAGCCCAAAATAGAGAGAAAAATTATTGGGCCTGTGCCTATGTATGGGCGGAAAAATTCTTATAATTTTTTTTTAGAATGCATAATTCAATTATTATATATCGAGGTGTAAATAAGTTGAGCCATCTCGTGAATCTGATGACTAGACTTGGCAAAAACTCGAAGTCGAGCCCACCAAATTTAAACAAGCTCGATTCGAAATCTCTACTTGTTATGGGCTTAATTGGGTAGTAGTAGCTGACAAAGTTCACCGGAACTATCAGAACGTAACAGAAACGGTGCCCTCCGTTCCAGAACCATAACAAAAATGATTTTTGCACTGTGATGCGTCGGAACACCGGAAAATGGCGTGACAGAATTACAAAACAACCATGTCACAGTCAGAAGATCAGTTGAATTTCGACAATGGACTGAGTGAAAAAAAAACATGGATGACGGTCCAGGTGGACCGGACACTTTGACAAAAATGTTATTTTTTCAACAATTATTATAAATTCAAGCTATAATAGCATGCACTCTCATCTTTGTCTTCAATAATAGCATGCTATATAAAGAAAAGAGCAAGACAATATGCACTTTCATATTTGAAGTTGTGATATGCATATTATTGTATTGTAATGTTGATATAAAAACATATTTGACATAAATTCTACTTTTTTAATATTTTAGTTAAAATTTGTCTCTTCCAACCGCAAAGAAGCTACGACGTTGCATTGGAACTAGAAGGTCAATGTGCGCAACAATGTACCGCGACTTTCCGACGAACCATCACACTATAGAGCCCAAAACAAAGAACCATGAGGATTTATTTAAAAAAAAGGGGGGGGGGGATTACGGCCACCCCTGAGGTATGGTTAAATTACAAAAATAATCTCTTTTGTTTGGGTAATAATTACAGCCACCTCCCTCTTTTTATATATTTTTAGATAAAATTCTTGTAATTCGGTTATTTACCGAACCAAAGCTTATATTTAGTTCGTTAAACAGTATGAAATGTTGGCGTACCGAAATTTCGGTTTGGTTTTACCGAATTAACATCCCTAAGTTTACCTCTGGAGGATCGTTTCATAAGATAATACATAGTTGAGAGGTGACTGTAATTACCCAAACAACAGGAGAATTTTCGTAATTTGACCATAAATCAGGGGTTGACTGTAATTTACCCAAAAAATTATCTACTAAAAAAAGAAAAAAAAAAAGAGGGAGTAGGAGAAATTGAGAAACTTCTCCCGCCACACACATGTTTTATGTTCAATTGTTCATTATCAATCCACCACTCCACCGTGCAAAATTAGGTTTCTCTTTGATTTGCAGCTCTGCAACAACAAAATACAAAACACTAATAAATTAAAGAAAAAATAAAAAATAAAAAATGGCGAAATTGATATCTCAAGGGATTCTCACTCCCTCCGCATCTCTTCTTTCCCCATCTACCCACTCTCACAAAAAATCACTATTCCCACCCCAATCTTTTGCTATTTCAACCAAACACGTCACTAAATCTAAATCCCTTCTTCCAGGAAACCCTAGTCGCCCACCATCGCTTGCGACCACGGCGGCCTCCACCGCCGCCGCCGCCGTCGTGCCTGATGACGTGGCGGATGTACTCGGGGAAGTTAGCATCTTCACCGCCGCCGGCGAGCCCGTCAAATTCAAGGACCTCTGGGATCAACAGGAGGTATTTTATTACTGCTTAATTCCTAAATTCTACTCTTTAATTATTTGTTAGTAATGTAAAAAATGCCTGATTTATTCAATTCTGTTTCGTTCGATTTATTTATTATTATTATTATTATTTTTTTTTTAATAATTGGTATTACTATTAATCTTGGGCTAATTTAATTACACTTTAAACATTGATTTCTTTCAATACGAACTCGAATATATCAAATGTAAATATTTCAAAATTGCATAATGTGGAACTCTGTATTTGTTATGTATATCAAACTATGCAATCCATAGTCGAATAACATCATATAACCGAGTTATCGAGTTATCAAAAAATTGGAAACAAAATAAAAATAATCAACTAAACTTCGCCAAAAATCGTAAGCGATACAACGTTGAAATTGAATGCCGTTAATTCCGATTTTTTTCGCTCACTTACGAAAAACTTATCGTTTGCAGGGAACGGCCGTTGTCGCACTTTTGAGACATTTTGGATGTTTTTGTTGGTAATTACTAATTACTTAACTCCTCGCACGAATTTTTCGTTTCGACAAATACTATAATATTTTTGTTTTTTTTGTTAGCTGGGAGCTTGCGTTAGCACTCAGAGAATCGAAGGAGAAATTTGAATCCGCCGGTGTGAAACTAATTGCTGTTGGTATTGGTACTCCCGACAAAGCTCAACTTCTCGCTGAACGAGTAATTATTTTTATCTATTTTTTTTCCTCGATAAATCTAACTCTGGATACAAATATAGATTCGAGTCGACCGCATTTTAAAAAAAAAAGGGTCTTTTTTTTTTAATCGACATTTTACTATCGTTTAATTGATCTCTAATACAATATTTTTTTTTTGTGCCAACAATTCAGTTACCATTTCCTTTGGATTCCCTCTATTGTGATCCCGATCGTAAGGTAAATTACTTTCTGCAAGTTAATTAATTTCATTATTTTTCACAATAAAACCGAATTAAGTTCTAAATACACCGTTGTCGAATTTCAGGCGTACGAACTTTTGGGCTTGTATTTTGGTTTTCGTCGTACATTTCTCAATCCAGCTAGTGTACATTTTCTCTCTCAACCTTTTCTATACATTATTCGCTCTGTTCTTGCTCGGTTTCAGATTCGTTAACTGATTTAATTAACTTTACAGACCAAAGTGTTTTCGAGATTTGAGGAAGTGAAAAAGGCTACGAAGAACTACACTATCAAAGCCACCCCAGACGATACAAGTAGCGTCCTGCAACAGGTTAATTAATTTCGATTTATTATATAATCCATGCCTTAAAACTCGTTTTATTTTTGTTTCCTTTAATTTGTCGGATAATATAATCCCGACTCGGGTGTGATTGATTATCAGGGAGGGATGTTTGTGTTTAAAGGAAAGCAGTTATTATACGCAAGAAAGGACGAAGGAACGGGCGATCACGCTCCGTTGGACGATATCTTTGAAATTTGCTGCAACGTTTCTTCTGCGTGAGGAATAATATTTTGTTTTTGTTTTTAATTAGTCCACAATTTGTTAGTAATCTTGTATTAGTGTATGCATTAATGTGATGTGTATACATACATATATGCTCCTTATAAATACTTGTATAAAGAACCATACATTGTTGAGTACTTGGGAATGTAAAATTTGTTATGCATTAACGTGTGTATACATATGTACTCCTGTTTAAATGATATTGTACAAATAAAATAATATTATACATGAATTTATTTTCACTAGTAGAAAAAAAGGGGTTTTTACTACGAATCATTTTGCTACATTAAAAATTTGTTATAAAATATATATTTTATGGGTCTTTCTAGGGTGAGATACCCCATGTTCTAAACTTTTATGAGATATGCATTAATCACCATTACTTTTCTAAAATTAAATCTGGACCCTAGGAAAATAACATGGTTTATGTTCTAAAAAATGAAGTACTTTACCAAATTATCCTTCGATTATTTTTTTTTATTAAATTAATATAAAATTGATTAACATTGAATTGTCTAATTTACCCCCTACTATATTTTAATTAAATAATTAATTTGATAAATAATCGAAAAAAATGCATTCATTAGAAATAGAACTCGTGACCTCTTATAACATTTATCACTCCTAATCATCCAAGCACATTAACTTATTATAATATATTTAACCATAATTGTATAAATACTGTTAATGCAAATATTAATTGCAACATTCATTATTATTAAATGGTATTAAATAAATTATTAACAAATTTAATAAAATAAAGTTTGAAAATATATAAAGAATTGCAGTTCAATAGCCCAAACATCTATCATTAATTATATAATATTAGAAGTATTAATAAACTCCACCATTTAAAAATGTCACTACAACAAAAATGTCTTTTAGAGACATTGGAAAGTGCCCTAATACGTACCATTTTGGGGCACTTATACTTATTAGGGCAAATAAAATAAATGTCGCGTAGTTGTGTGTCGCAATAGCTCATGGGGCACTTATTATATGTCCCTATAGACTTTTCTTTTCATGACACTTACATATGTCCCGATAGACTATTTTGAGGCACATATATATATCCCATAAGGTTGTTGCTATTTTTGCTACGAAACTTTTTGAGACATTTATAATTGTCAATATATATATATATATATATATATATATATATATATATATATATATATATATATATATTAAAACAAAAATAAATTACTATAATTATCAATCATCATAATTTCATTCGGATTCGCTCATGAAAGTTTACAAATATTACAATGAACTTCAATATTTGATTACAACTTCTTGATTAAAAACTATGCCTATGTTTCTACAAAATTATAGAGGATGTCTTATTTAACTAATCATTCTAATATTTCAACACTAAAAACTCAAAATGCATGATTTAGCTCCATCATATGTTTGACTGCATCACCAATAAAATCCATCATCAAAGCAACCTACAAGTGTAAAAATACACATTAATTAATAACAAGAAAATAAGTTCTAAAATTCAAATTGAATAGCATATTTGTATGTCCCAGTTACAGTAAAAATGTGGATTGAGGCATAAACGAATGGATATTGCACGAGAGAACTATACGCAAAACAAAATTGAATTTAGATTCAACATACTCAATACACTCACTAGCAATGATCAGCTATTAGCTCCAAATACTCGAACCATGTTTTCTTTTATGTAATAGTAGTAGGAATAAATTGTAATCACCAATAGCTTGGAGGCACATTACAAAAATGCCTAACACAAGCTGCACAAAATACACACTGGCCACTAACTTAAGCTTGTTCTATGTTTGAGAACAACTAAGTGCTCTTTCTAAATGGTATTATTAAACATAGCTCTCGTTTATCCATCAAATTATATCTAGTAGATGTGCATAAAATTCTAACAGTAGGATTCAAGCTAGTTCTAGAAAAAAAAACATTCTGTTAAAAGGTTCAATTAGTATTACTATTTAAAAAGGGTTAAAGCATATACAGCGTAGGCAAGTAGAAGAGTTTAGA